GAAGAAGCCAGAGCAGACTGTGTCCCGATTCCCTATTGGCAATTTGGGTAGCCCCTTCAGAGGATGTCATGATAAGAATAGGAAGTAGGAATTGGCTAGGCAGTTAGGGTAAAAAGACCCCAAAGAAAAGTAGCCAGTTTCTTGGCTAAAAGTCAAAATTTCCCTGGGACTGTTAGCAACACACTCTGTTCCAAAGGCCAAAAATGTCAAAAGTATTTGGGAGCTTGTATCTAACCCTTAAAAGATTTTAGGGTTACCTCTTCAGAGGGGGGAATGTTGGAGGGGAGGGGGTAGGCATGGATTTGATCAAAACACCTTATATGCATTATGAAATTCTCAATAAAGTTTTTGTAAAAGTTAAAAAAATGAATAAAATAAAATATTTAAAAAAGATTAGCTGAGAACTTAAGCTCTTGCCTATGGTATTAATTGCAAATAAATCGATCCTGTCTGAAACAAAAAAAGAAAAACAACAAAACAAACAAAAAAAGATGCATGCATTGAAGTAGGTGGCAAGTCTCTGCAGAGCCTTTTAATGCATAGGTTTCTCCTCAAATTTTGTTTTTCAAACGTGAACTTTGTTGAAGAAATTGTGTCTTGTAACTATTTAACATTTTTGCTCTCTCTGTGTGTGTGTGTGTGTGTGTGTGTGTGTGTGTGATTTGTTTGAGTTTTGTTCAGAAAAGCTATGTTTCACTTAGTAGTTTCCTTGAATTTTTCTATGTATGTCCAGAATGGGTGATGACTCCTAAAAGCTACATCCCTGAACCCCCAATCACAATTTTCAGACATATGGACCACTCAGAGTGTCTCTTCTCCCCAGCAATTGTATACTGTTTTTGGTAACCTTGGGGAAGGACCTTGTACATCCTGTAACTTTCTAAGCTTTCTAGTTATTATTAAGTTTTATGAACTTCCTGACCTTTTCTCCCCATCCCCCAAGAAAGAATATTTTAGTTCTGAAGAAAGATCTACACAATAGAAATCTACCAAATGGTTCACTAATTTTAGGATTAACCGTAAAGGGTCCTGTAGGATTTTTCCAGGATTCCATTTTTTTTTTTCTAACTTGAAAACTAGATACCTGATTTAAACTTCTAGAAAATTTCTCAAGTCCATTTCGCATCCAACTACAGCATAAGTAAAAATATTTTTTTATTAAAGTGTTAAGCTTTTGAACTTGGAACTTTATTACAAATACATTAACTTCTCAGGTTAATGTAGGAGTTGACAGTTGATGAATGACATCCAAAGATGGAAGACATGGAAATTCATGTTGTTTGGTAAACAGTTACTTGAAGTGTATTAGTTATATCTGTATTATTGTGACAAATTATGTCACAAATCAATTTCAAAAAGCAAAGGCTTCTTTTGGCTCATGGATTCAGAAATTTCAGTCTGTATAGGTGGGAGGGTGAGTCTATCAGAGCAGACAGAACAGTTCACACTACAGTGGAAAGAATGAAGAAAGGGAGATCAGAATTGACCAGTGGATAATACACTGACAAGTATCCTCCCCCAACCCCTCACTTCCTTCTGCTAGTCCTTCCTCCCTAAGTTACAGAGCCTTCCAGATTAGTGACTGGAAACTTGGGACCAAACTTTGAAAACATGAGCATGGAGAAGAGAATTCAAATGCAGACCCTGACATGCAGTAAAGTGAGAGCCGCAGTTTCTATTATGAATGTGACTGAAAAAAGTACCTGAGTATATGTTGTTTTCTGTAATTTGACAAGGTTGATTTAAGAACAAGTTGGTAAATAATATCAGCATGAATAAGAATTTAAAAAAGTCCAGAAACTCAAGATCAGCAAGATTATGAAAGCTAATTACATAAACCTTATTGGTAAGAACAGAGATTCTATAAACTACAATGTGTCATATATATTTGCTTTGTGTAATGATTAAGATCATTAGCAACTCAAGAAAAGAAGAAGAGGGATTTTATAAAGTACTTTAGGTCAGAAATCAATGAAATTATGACCTTCCCAAATATCTGTTCTTGTGATCATGTTCTTTGTGATCAGCACAGCTAAGCAAGGAGTTGAAATTTGGGGATTTAAGAAACAACAAAATGCTGAAAAGTATTTTAGGTTTCCATGTTGTTCTAGTTTTCTTTCTCTCGCTGTGATAAAATACTCTGACCATGTGTCTTTAATCTCTATGTATCCGATTTTTACTAGTCACAGTCGGTTACACTCAGATCCTTGGCACCTGAGTATGGCTATAAAGTCATCAGGTAGATTTCAATGGTAATGTTTATCACCTCTACTAATTAACATGAAGTAAATTTTTATGCTTCTTCCTCAATTATGTCTTTTTTTAATTTGTTGATTTTTTCGTGTGTATATCATACAGAACATCCCACACAATCTTATTCATCTATATACCCACTTCCCAAATGGCACCCTCCCATGCATGTGTAAACGTCTCAGCGTTAGTAGCATTCAAAATGTAGGAAAGAGCATATTTTAAAATGAAATGAGGATCTTCTTTAAAGGGTAAAAACTCACTCAATATTATGTCTTACAGGGTTTATTCTGAGTTCGGTATTGTTTCACTGTATTTATTCAACTGTGAATCTAAAAATTTACAGCCACTTTTGAAAGAGATGTATCCTTGCTCTGGAAATTATTACTGACTATGTTAAAGCTGTAATGGAATGCTTCTTCTGATCATGTGGTTATTAAATTTAAAAAAATTGCCTGATTCTGGAAATCTAAATAAAGCCAATTAAGATCTTTAAAAAAAAGAAAAGAAAAGAAAAGAAAAAGAAAAACACTCTGACCAAAAGCAATGTGGGGAAGAAAGTGTTTATTTCATTTATGTTTCCAGGTCACAGTTCTTAACTGAGGTTCAGTCAGGAACTGGAAACAGAAATCATCAAGGAGCACTGCTTATTGGCTGCCTCTAGCTCATGCTTAGTTATGTTTCTTATATAACTCAGGGCCACTTGCCCAGGGAAAGGTACCACCTACAATGGACTGGGCCTTCTTTTATCAATTAGCAGCTAACAGAATCCCCTACAGACATGCCCACAATTAATCTCATCAAGGTAATTCCTCAATAAAGATTTCCTCTCAGATGAGTGACTAGGCTGTGTCAAATCAGTAATTAATACTAATGAGGACACATATGAAACTGAACTAAGCAAATAGAACTGTTTTTCAAAGAAACATTACTGAAAAAATCACAAGCTCAGCATAAAAACTTGATGTTTCTAAAATATAAAATTGCATTTATTATGTAAAAGGTGTTTGCTTAATTAAGAAAAGAACTATGTATAAGAGCACATATTCTCCAATACCTATTTCAAATGTATGTAACAATGTCATTTGAAAGGAGGAAACGTGCAAAAGATGAGGTGTAGGGCTCTAATGGATAGAACAAAATTTGTGTACCCAGAGGATGGACTCTGGTCTAATACTAGAAATTCTTAACCCCAGGTGGTATACTTTTAAAATTCTTGCTTCTGTAGAAGTCCAGTCTTGCTTCGCCATGAAATTCTGACTGCTTTACCTTCTTTCAATTTTCAAGTTGGTTTGATCATAGTGTTTATCACAGCAACAAAGAAGTAACTAGAACAAACTCTTTGTGTAGTCCTAAGCTATACACACTTCCTTATTTTACAGATAAAATTGGATTGATAAGCAACTTGATCTTTTAAATTTTTTCTCTTTACATGTAGAGAATAATGTTGTATTTAGTTGAAAAGCACATAGACATAGTAATGATACAGGTTAATAGTCCTATAAGTTTTGTGAATTAGTTTACAAAAAATGATGAAAAACTGAGTTAAATTTTCCTGTAAAAATTGAGATTTTATATTTTCATTTTAGCCTTTTGCGATCCACTAAATAGTTGTGAATGAGTCATAAACAAAGCAACATAGACAGAGATGTTGATTTTCTCACTTGAATGTTATCATACATTCTAAAGCTTCACTTTGAAGCTATTTTTATTTTAACATTAGCTATTTTTATTTTAACTATTTAGCTATTTTTATTTTAACTATTTAGCTATTTTTATTTTAACTTGTACATTTAGAAATTTGGTTCTTATCCTGCTGGTTCAGCAGGTAAGGCAGAAAAATACCACTCCTGTCATGGTAAAAAATGAAAGAAAATTCACAAATGTCTGTGGCATTTGAAACAGTTCACAGCTCCTGTGTTGGCCACGTACTCATCATAAAATTGCTAAGAGTATTGTTCTCTTGGAGGCCTTGTGCTTTTGCCACACTATAAGATATTCCAGTTAGTCTTAGGAGCAGATAAGAAGCAAGCAATACAACACAATAACTGTTAATTATGATGTCTTATCCTTCAATGAAATTAGTAAAAATTGGCCAATAAGTCAGCAGTTGAAACACAAATGATGACATCATAATGTACTAATTTGGTCACTGAAGAATTTATACTTTAATTTGTACTCCGCTCCCTGAGGTTCTTTTTTATTTTTTCAGAAAGGGCCTCCATACCTTATCTGGCCTCAAATTCTTCATAATCCTTCCACAGTCTTCCAAGTGACAAAATTAGAGCTATACACTATGACACATAAAGTAGTCTGCTCTCTGTTGCTGTGATAAAATATGACTAAAAATAACTTGGGGCTGAAAGAGTTTATTTCGTCTTAACACTTTACAGTCCCTCACTGGGACAAGTCAAGGCAGGAACTCAAGGGAATTTCCCTGAGGCAGGATCCGAAGCAGAAACCATGGAGGAATGCTGCTTACTGGCTTGCTTACTTTGGCTTGTTCAGGTACCTTTTTTATACAGCCCAGACACATTAATTTGCAGTGGCATCACCCACAATGGTATGGGCCCTTAACTGTAAATCAATTAACAATTAAGAAAATGCCTCACAGACATGCCCACATGACAACTGGCCAAACCGATCAAAGAAATTCCTCAGTTGATGTTCCTTCTTCCCAGTTGACACTAGGTTGTGTCAAGATGCCAATAAAAACTAAATGGAATACTTAATTTAGAAAGTCAATTGACTGCAGCCATGTCAAATTCAGTGCCTAGCCTACCGATGACAGGCACTGACCCAAAAGGCTGCCATAGAAATACTGTGACTCATGGGCCCTGTACCCCTTACCTGGGATCAGGGATAAATTTGGTCACATACACAAGCAAAGCCAAAAACAAAAAGTTAATTGACAAAGAAATTGCCAAAACTAGAGTCATAAAGAAAAAGAAACACACACACACACACCATGTCACAGGAGCAAGTTGTTATTTTACTTTCAGAATTTCCATATAACCAATATATATTTACAGCTATTTATTTACAGCTATATTTTATATGTTTATTTTAATTGGAGATATATTGTTGTACAAAATACCCATTCTTTTCCATATGGTAAAAGGTGTGTGTGTGTGTGTGTGTGTGTGTGTGTGTGTGTGACTTATTCTCTTCAGAATCCTAGGAGACTTTTATTCATATTCTATTTTTTCATTTTTTGAAAAGTTCATAAATACATATACTGTGTTTATCAAATCCACTCCCCCATTCCCTAACGTCAAATTCTTCTATTGTCCCTTGAGTTTCCTCCCAAACATCGTGTGCTCTTCTTTTTTTTTTATAACCCAATGAGTTCATTCGGTGCTGCCTGTATGTACATGGGTATAAGGCCATCTACTGGGACACATCCTTCAAGAAAATCTACTTTCCCTCCACCAAAACCCATCATCTAGGACTGGAACTTCATGAGCCTCTTCTCTGCCCATGCCAGGATATTGGCTGGCTTGATCTTGTGCTACTCTTGCAATATGCAGTCACAATTACTATGAATTCGTGTATAGAACATACAACATGCTGTGTCCAGTAAACACTCTTTTACTTCGAACCTCTAATATATTTGGCTCTTACTATCTTTCCACACCCTCTTCCATGATTATTCCTTAGCCTTAGGGGAGGAGTGTGAAATAAATATCTTATTTAGATCTGAGCACTCCACAGTATCTTATCTGTATATTTAGCCAGTTGTGTATCTATGCATTAATCAACAATGGTCTTATCCATCTATAAACCCTACAGACTAGAAAACCAACCTGACAGGCCAGATGTGTCTACCTCTGAAATGGTGGTAAAGTTGTTAGGTGAACACTCAAATACTCTCTGATTGTATTTGAGGCCCACTTCACTGGAAAGAACCCACGCCTAATATTGTAAACCAGTCAATAATCCATGTTGTTATATTTCAGGCCTGAGAGGGGAGGGGATCATACTACTGTTTTTAACTACACTGATTCAGCATTCGAAGTGACTTCCAAATATCTCTGTTTTATACTCGAAAACAAAAGTTACTTTATGCCTTAATTAGAAAAGCCTCTCTTTCCATTGATCTACAATGAATGTAGACACATGGCTGCCTAAGAAGGTGATGATAAGTGATGAATGGGGATTTAGCCCTAAACAAGATGTTTATACCACCCCTCTGAAGTTTACGAAACATTGAGAAAGAGAGGATGGGCAGAATATGAGTCATAACACAGGGAGAAGAGCTGTTAAATGCCATCCTCTAGGCACAGCACATCCATTGTAATTATGAACTCAAAGCAGCTGTGGTTACTTGTACTGACCCAAAATAAGACTAGCTGCGACAACAATCAGTCATGAATGAGAGAAGGGCTCTTATGGCCCTACATCTTATTGCTGAACCATTGACTACTGATATATTCTGAGATAGGGTAGTCACTGCCTTCAGTTTTGCACCCACTGCTGAGCTCACAGGCTCCAACGGATACCTATAACCCCATGTCACACAAGTGGCCATGGTTAAATCAGTGTGTCACAAAACAAAATAAATACATGTGAATATGAAAAGGAGATTTGTAGGAAAGAGGAGAGTAGGACAGAGGTAGAAGGGAGTTAAGACAGAGTAGCGAATGATAGCGATCAATGCACATTATATACAAGCATAGAATTATCAAGAAAAATTAGTTTAAAAAACCGAAATGATTAAAATACCTCATTCCAAAGCTTCTTAATGAAATGGTTGGTAAAACACAATAAAGACAAAGGCTGGCATAACTTATTCTTTTGTAGAAAAAAAAAATTAAAGTCTTAACCCAGCCTGAATCCTGTGAGATACAAAACCGACTTGTCTGGCAAGATATATAATGTGGAGCAGTGTTAGCATGAATGTTATGGAGGCAACCAATTACTTTCTGTCTCTTTAAAGCCAGTCTTACTTAACATAACTCATGCCTGGTACCATTAGCTGGGTCAACAACCTATGACTAGGTAGGTTATGGCCCCTAGAGAAGAATCTAATACTATTATTCTGCTAAATGGATGAAGTATTAAACTGCCTCTATACCCATAGATTGGTGAATACTTCAAATCCCATGAAAGAAGCAGATCTTAGGCATGCTATCATAACTGCTGTGGGTTCATATATGCAACTGTCCTGTTCTTTCTGGAAAACATGGTTTCCTCCATTCATTCACCATTGCTAGCTCTTAGAACATTTCAGCCCCTTCTTCCACAATGATCGCTGAGCTTTGAGAGGATAGGATATGATATAGGTGCCCCACTTAGAGTCAAGCACTCCGCAGTCTCTTATTTTCTGCATGTTTACCAGTTGGGGATTTTTATGCTAATCACCAACTGCTGTAAGAAGAAGCTTCTCTTGTGAGAGTTGAGCATATCACTAATGTAGGGGTATAACAACTAGTCATTAGGAGTCAGTTTAATATTTTTATTTTGCAAAATAATAGTAGTAGGTCCTCCCCTATGGCCTGTGACCTGCTTAGCCAAGTGTCCTTGACCCTGATAACAGTGCCAGGTATGGGCTCTATCTTATAAAGTTGGCCTTAAATCCAGAAAGAGGTTGGTTATTCCGATAACATTTGTGCTACTACTGTACTGATGGGCATAACTCTTTTTAGGCCAGTCATTATTATAAGTCATAGTATTCACATCTGGGTAAGGCTGGTAATTACATTTATCTTCTGGTAGAATGGATAGCACTTTGCAGCACTATGAAAACTAAGTAGTAGAGATGGAGCTTTGAGGTCAGTACCAGCTTAAATTGTTTTTGTATGACTCACGTAATTTCCACTTAATAACTTACTAAAGATTTGAATAATGGAAGGGAAAATGGGATAATATCAACAAGCACTTACTAAGTGTTTATAAAAAAGTGAGATTGCTTATTCTCTAGTTGAAACCAATTTACACATAGTTTTTATACTCCAGAGTTTTCAAGTAAAAGCATAACATGTTTTCTCTTTATGCAAATCTTAGATTTAGATTTTAATCTTCCATTTTGTTTGTTCAACCTGGAGTACCTGTGGAAGTCAGAAAACTAGGAAAGAGATATTAGGGCAGGAAATGCTTTAATTGAAGGTGAATAATAGAACACAGGTGATATGAAAGTAGAAAGGAGGAATATTGGGGGTGAAAAAGTTTAAATCAGTGAGGAGGATGTGGGAACTGGGAAGACAGACAAACTTTGAAAAGGTCATATTGATGATTACTATTTTGGTTCCTAATTAAAAAATAGGAAAGAGAAATTGAGTGAAAATACCTTGCATGGTTAGATAATGCCTCTTGTAAAAATAGTGGGTTAATGAACAATTTCTGGTGCTAGGTGTGGAATACCTCCATAAGAGTTAGTCAGGAAACCCCAGAGGCCCCAGGACAATAAAAGCTCTTTTCAGTCTTCTTATTGCCCATCGAAACTAAAAGATAAGACCCAACTGTAGAAGATACGACTAGTTCCCACCAACAGTGTATGAGGGTTTCCTTTTTCAGGAACTATGCCAGAATCTGTTGCCATTTCTATTCTATTATTTATTTATTTGCATATGTATTTGGACGCACATGTGTGGAAGCATGTGGGGAGGTTTGAGGAAAAGTTGTAGAAATTGATTATTTCCTTCCATCATGTGCATTCTGGGGCTTGAACTCAAGTTGTCAGGCATGGTAACAAGTAGCTTTGCCTGAATCTAAGCATACAGAGGACATATCTCAACAAAATAAAGGTAACATACAACAAGCCCACAGCCAACATCCTGTTAAACAGAGAAAAACAAAACATTTCCATTAAATCTAGGAATGGGGCAAGGAGTCCCACTCTTTCTACTTCTGTTCAATATAGTGTTTGAAGTTTTAGCTAGAGCAGTGAGTCAAGTGAAGGAGAGATAACTTAGTTATAAATCAGAAAGGAAGAAGTCAAAGTATCCTTATTTTTCAGATGAAATATATTATTTCAGGATTTGAAATATAATAAAGCCAACATACTTCACCAGAAAACTCCTAGAGCTGAAAAACACCTTCATCATACTAGAACAATAAAAATTAACACACAAATCAGTAGACTTCCTATACACTAACCACAAGCCTACTGAGAAACAATCCCATTCTCAATAGCCTCAACATACATAAAGTATCTTGGAATAAAGTTAACTAAAGAAGTGAAAGACTTATATAGTGAAAACATTAAGATATTGAAGAAAAAACTGAAGAAGAAATGAGAAGATGAAAAGTATTAGGATGCTTACAGAGCAGTAGGATTAATACTATGAACATGGCCACTGTACCAAAAGCAATCTACATATTTAATACAATCCCTAATAAAATTTCAACACAATTCTGTTTAGAAATTGAAAAAATAATCTCAAATTTCATATGAAAACACACACATGCACAATCACACACGCACACACACACACACACACACACACAAAAACCCAGGAAAGTAAAAACAATATTGTACAGTGTGCTAGACAGCTTTAGATGTCAACTTGACACACCTGGGTTGAGGGAACCTCAGTGGGGGAATTTCCTGCATTGGACTGGCATGTGCCCATGTCTGTGAGGCATTTTCTTGATTGTTGAGTCATGTGGGAAGGCCCAATCCACTGTGGATAGTGCCATTGCTGGGCAGGTTGTGTACACTGTTTCATAAGTGTGATAGCATGGACAACTCCATCCTTGACCCTCACCTCAATTTTGTCTCGGGCAAGTCAGACCTAAAGGTTGAACTTAGTTCCAATAACCTCCCCCCTCTCCCTCAGAGACCTGGTTGTGAGTAATGGCTAACGACAGAGAGCAGTGTCACCACAGAGATGTTGTCACAACTTATTTCATGGTCTTGCCTGTTTACTTAAGAAGAAACCA